CAAATTTCTAGGTTCTATCATATCTCAAGACCTCAAATGGACACCTAACATCAGAAACGTCATCAAAAAAGCACAACAAAGAATGTTCTTTCTGTGCCAACTCAGAAAGCTCAGGCTGCCCAAGGAGCTGCTGATCCAGTTCTACAGAGGAATTATGGAGTCTGCCATCTGCACCTCTATATCTGTGTGGTTTGACTCTGCAACCCAACAAGACGGACACAGACTTCGGAGGATAATTAGAACTGCAGAAAAAACAATGGCTACCAACCTGCTTTCCATTGAGGACCTGTATACTGCACGAGTCAAAAAGAGGGCTGTGAAAATATTTACAGACCCCTCGCATCCTGGACATAAACTGTTACAACTCCTACCCTCAAAATGACGCTATAGAGCACTGCACACCAGAACAACTAGACACAAGAACAGTTTTTTCTTGAACACCATCACTCTGCTAAACAAATAATTCCCTCAAAACTGTCAAATCATTTACTAAGTCTGCATTACTATTAATCTTCTCATCATTCCTATCACCCATCTCCTCCCGCTTATGACTGTATGACTGTAACCTTGTTGCTGGTATCCTTAAGATTTATACTGACTGTTTCCTAATACGATTTGATTGCTTATTTGTTCCCTATGAGTATCATTAAGTGTTGTACCTTATGATTCTTGCAATTCTTATATATCTTTTCTTTTATGTACACCGAGAGTATGTGCACCGACAAATTCCTTGTGTGCCCAATCACACTTGGCCAATCAAGAATTCTATTCTATTCTATCCTCAAAATGACGCTATAGAGCACTGCACACCAGAACGAGACACAAGAACATTTTTTGCCCGAATGCCATCACTCTGCTAAACAAATAATTCCCTCAACACTGTCAAACTATTCACTAAGTCTACATTACTATTACTATTAATCTTCTCATCGTTCCTATCACCCATGATTGCATGACTGTAACTTGTTGCTGTATCCTTAAGATTTATATTGATTGTTTCCTAGTATGATTCGATTGATTATTTGTTCCCTATGACTATCATTAAGCGTTGTACCTTATGATTCTTAACAAATGTATCTTGTCTTTTTATGTACACTGGGAGCATATGCACCAAAGACAAATTCCTTGTGCGTCCAATTACACTTGGCCAATAAAGAATTCTATTCTATTTATGAACACTGCGTCTGCAACACTAATTCAGTTCTAAGTGACACACACGCATATAAACTTATCAAAAGCAGAGAGCAGGGAGACAGAATGTAATAATATTCTGGGACTCCTGTGCCCCTCAATTACTTTCATGTCAAGAATGATGTAGCCCTCTACCTAGTAGTAAGTAAGAGGGATCAGAAGCATTACCATCTGGCCTTATAACCCCTGAGCAAACTACCGTAGATACATCACACGCTATTCCTGAGAGAGGAGCACAGCTGGCAAATATGCCAATATGTATACAGAAGGAGACACACCTGGAGTGTAAACCAGTTAAGGAATGGAGGTTCACCACCTGGCTAGCAGTGTTTTTGTATTCTATAGAAATTTGAGTGAAGACTTTTCACCTCAAGAAAGTAATAACAGAGCTGGAGGGGACTTTGGAAATCTTCCAGTTCAACCTCCTGCTTAAGCAGGAGATCCAATATCATTCTGGACAAATAGTTGTCCAGTATCTTCTTAAAAACCTCCAGTGTTGGAGCATTCCCAACTTCTGGAGGCAAGTTGTTCCACTGATTAATTGTTCTCACTGTCAGGAAATTTCTCCTTAGTTCTAGGTTGCTTCTCTCCTTGATCAGTTTCCACCCATTGCTTCTTGTCCTGCCTTCAGGTGCTTTGGAGCATAGCTTGACTCCCTCTTCTTTGTGGCAGCCCCTGAGATATTGGAACACTGCTATCATGTCTCCCCTCGTCCTTCTTTTCATCAAACTAGACATACCCAGTTCAGCTAGGTGCACTTCAAGAATAAACGGTGCCTCTTGATTGAACCTGGCTGAGCTTCCTCATCTAGCACAGGGGTCACCAACCTTTCGGACCTCAGGGACCACTAAATTCATAATTTTAAATCCTGCGGACCACTAATGTGATCTGCCTAATGACTGGCTGGGTGGGCATGGCTAGGTGGTCATGTGACTGGATGGGCGTGGTCAACTCGATGTCACTCACGTCGAGGGGCGCCTCGCCAGCCTCTACTCGCCCCTCCCCTCCCAGCCACTCCTCACTTGCTCGCCCGGGCTCCTTAGGAACCCAACAGGAAGCAGTTGTTGGAGCTAAGCAGCCACTAGGAGAAAGAGTGGGCAAAACAGCTGGCTCAGTTCAAATTGGATCTGGCCGAGAAGGAGGCTCAGCAGAAGCACCTCACTGAGGACTAGGAGCATAGGCTTTCCAAGCAGAGGGAAGACCTGCAGGAGTGCAAGGCCAGGTACCAGCACCTGGAGGCTCAGCAGGCTGAGATGGTCAGCCAGTTCCAGGCCATGATGCAGTCCCACTGGAACGAGGCCCTCTGGCTCTTAGCCACCAGTGGCACTTCCCTCCAGCCTTCGCCCAAAGCCCCTCACCAGGAGGCTGAAGCAGACCCTGAGTTAGAATTTCTTCCCCCCTCCAACCCACATAAAAAGACCCCGAAGGGGGAGACTCTCTGCAGCAACACAAATGTTCATTGCATGTATCCGGCCCAGGGGCCGTAGTTTGAGGATCCCTGATTTAGTGCAATATAAAAAATGCAAATAATTTTTCTGCGGACCACCAAAATTTTCTCGCGGACCACCGGTGGGTGACCACTGATCTAGCATACATTTCCTTTTCTTTTTAAGCATAGTTCTATATGTTGGCAGTGATTGGCACTTCCACAGAGTGTTCCTGTGGTCTACCAAAAAGATGCTGGCTTGTGATACAAGGTCTCTTTGTGGCCAATCTAACTGGATCTGGCAAGGCACACCCTGTCTTCTCCCTCAGTTACATGTTTCCACAGATGACTGACAGAAATTACCTCGGATGGAGGTTTCTTCGTTGTTATTACAGCTCGTCCTCAACTTACCACACAGTTCGCTTAGTGACCGATCGAACTTACAACAGCATTGAAAAAAAGTGACCATTTTTCACACTTACAACTGTTGAAGCATCCCCGTGGACACATGATCGAAATTCAGATGCTTGGCAACTGATTCATATGTATGACGGTTGCAGTGTCCCTGGGTCACGTAATTCCTCTTGTATGACCTTCTAACAAGCAACGGAGCCTTGGTGGCGCAGGAGACTAAAGCACCGTTAAAGTAACACCAGCTGCCTGCAATTACTGCGAGTTCAATTCTCACCAGGCTCAAGGTTGACTCAGCCTTCCATCCTTCCGAGGTAGGTAAAATGAGGACCCGGTTTGTGGGGGCAATAAGCTGACTTTGTATAAAAAAGAACACCGCTTAGGGGGGACCAAAAGCCTTACTAAGCAGGTATATACAAAAGTATGAAGGCTATTGCTTAACGCATTGTAAGCCGCCCTGAGTCTCCGGAAAAGGGCGGCATATAAATCGAACCAATAAATAAATTAAATAAATAAACGGGGAAGCCAGATTCACTTAACAACCATGTCGCTAACTTAACTGCAGGGATTCGCTTAACCAATGTGGCAAGAAAGCTCGTAAAATGGGGCAAAACTCACTTAGCGAATGTTCCGCTTAGCAACATACATTTAAGGGACAATTGTGGTCATAAGTTGAGGACTACCTGTATGTATCCCGCTACAGAATCTGCAGACTGAATTCGGGTAAGATACCCCCATATACCTACAAACGAAAAATATCTTGATAGGATGGGCGATTGTAAGTAATATTTTCTAAGTTTCTAATTATGAGTCAGGTGATTATTATCCTTTTGATAAAAGTAACCGGGCACTGTTTTTACAGCTCAAGATCCTAGCAAATGTATTCATCGTGGCGATAAAGAAATAGTTTTCACAAACATTCATTCTTTAACAGGCTATAACTTACAAGTTCCTCTGACATCTGTCATTTTCTTTCTCCTGATTCATCACCCAATAGCTGCCCATCTGATACAGAAGGTAGTTAAAAGTGGGAAATGGGTGTGTTTCCCGGGTCATATTTATATCCGGTGGCACAATTGCTTATCAAATGATAAGACAGAGTTGATCAACGGTCGTAACCCTCCGCTTCCCGCTGCATAATAACCACATTGTCTGACGAAAGATGCCTTGAAAGTTTTATGTCTCTTTTGTAAACTTTTGATTCATCCTAATAACAGGGCTGCCCTTATGAAAATATGGGGTTGGATTTGGTCTGTGAAATTTGGGGTTTTTTGCTTTTCCCAGGTTAAGTGAGAGCAATCAACCCATGGAACAGAAGTCGCCTTTGGAAGTTGTGGGGGCTTCATCACTGGAGGCTTTCAAGGGGAGATCGGACTGCCATTTGTCGGGGATGGTGTAGGGTTTCCTGCTTGGGCATTGGGGGGTTGGACTAGATGACCTACAAGGTCCCTTCCAACTCCGTTCAACCAATCTAAAGTGTATATCAAGTGTGCATTCCTTTTCTTTTTTCTTTTAAAAAAAGGGACAGATTATGCAATTTTTAAAGAATATTTTGAAAACGTCTGCAGGGCAAAACGAACAAAAAAAAAAACAAACCAAAATAAGTTTGAAATACTCTGAATGTTGTAACTATAAACCTTAAAAATCTCCCTCGAGGAAAACCTGCTTCTTCTTGCTACTAGCTCTCGGCTGCATGTAACCGTGCTGAACAGGACCGGCCAAAGGAAGGACGTAGCGAGCGCTGACTCTTTGAAATACAAAAAGGATTACTGGCTGCATTCCAATATATAAAATGCAGAGGAAGTAAACGCAGGCACGCTCCTCTCTCTTTAAACGTTGCTAAAATGGCTTCTTGGAAGTTGGATTTCTTTTTTGTTTCTGAGTAATTTTTCGCCCCCTTTGATGCAGACCTGCCTGTACTTAAGACTTAAAAGAAAGGAAAAGTACTCTAGCAGATGAGGGAACTACTTACCTCTCTCTGTCTCGTATTGGCTGGTGGCTCCTGCAGTCAAACTGCAGTTTGAAGCCTGATCTTTTGGTCTACCTGAGCGTACGGACACTGAAAAGGAAGAAGGAAGAGCACAGAAGAGGACTCAGTGGCTTGCTCAATCAACACGTAGGGCTGAGAAAGGCAACGGTGGGCGGAAGGGAGCGAGTCTAACCAGTTTTACCTCCTCTTAAGTCCTGTCAATATGCCTATATGCACGAGTGTGTCTCCCAGTGTGCGTTTTTCTAGAGCTGCAGCAATGCTGGAGGAAGAGCCATTAAGAGTAGCTTAAGAATCTCGGCTGATTAAATTTTGTTATGGGCCATTTAATGCAGTGGTCCCCAACCTTTTTATCGCCGCGGCCCGCTGAGCGCGCGCAGGGGTGGGGGCACGGCCCAGGAGCTTTTGCGCACGGCCCATTGCGCACGGCCCAGGAGCCTTTGCGCTGCAGCGTTCATGTCCCCTGGCCGCTGCGCGGCCCGGTGCCAGGTACTCCACGGCCCGGCACCGGTCCGCGGACCGGGGGTTGGGGACCACTGATTTAATGGATCTACCCCAAAATACAGTTACAGGACCAGGCGCTAACACAGTGAGCTGGGATTTAATATCCACACGGCTGTCTTTGGAGGATCATATGACGGCCGTGGCCAGGGGGGCCTTTTATCAGGTTCGCCTGATTTCCCAGTCCCGATCCTTTCTGGATCGGGACGCCCTGCGCACAGTCACTCACGCCCTCGTCACTTCCCGGCTGGACTATTGTAATGCTCTCTACATGGGGCTCCCCTTGAGGAGCACCCGGAGGCTCCAGCTGGTCCAGAATGCAGCCGCGCGAGTAATAATGGGGGCGACTCGTCGCTCCCATGTAACATCCATCTTGCGCGAGCTGCACTGGCTCCCGGTGGTCTTCCGGGTGCGCTTCAAGGTGTTGGTCACCACCTTTAAAGCGCTCCATGGCTTAGGACCTGGTTATCTACAGGACCGCATTCTGCCACCGATTGCCTCCCACCGACCAATACGCTCCCACAGAGAGGGCCTCCTCAGGGTGCCGTCAGCCAAACAGTGTAGGCTGGCGACCCCCAGGGGGAGAGCCTTCTCTGTGGGGGGCCCGGCCCTATGGAATGAATTGCCCCCGGACATACGAAGGATCCCCGACCTCCGTGCCTTCCGTCACGTTCTGAAGACCCTATTATTCCAGCAAGCTGGACTGACAGGATAAAGGTTTTTTAAATTGGGTTTTGATAGGGGTTTTTAAATGATCTTAGTTGGATGTTTTAAATTTGGCTGAATGGTTGGATTATTTTAAGAAGCTTTTAATTTTTGTTGTACATTGTTTTTACCATGGCTGTTCACCGCCCTGAGTCCCTCGGGAGAAGGGCGGTATACAAATATAATAAACTAAACTAAACTAAACTAAACTTATTGCCATGCGCTCAAAAGCCCGATTGGGCTTATTATCAGGGGATGTCTTATTTTGGGAGAAACAGGGTAGTCTAGTGAAAAGAAGAACTGGGGTGACATGATAGTGATGGTCCAATATTTGAGGGGCTGCCACAAAGAGGAGGGTCAACCAATTCTCCAAAGCACCAGAAGGCAAGACAAGAAACAATGGATGGAGACTAATCAAGGAGAGAAGCAACGTAGAACTAAGGAGAAACTTCCTAACAGTGAATTAACCAGTGGAACAGCTTGCCACCAGAAGTGGTGAATGCTCCATCAATGGAGGCTTTTAAGAAGAGACTGGACAGTCACTGATCTGAAATGGAATAGGGTCTCCTGCTTGAGTAGGGGGTTGGATTAGAAGACCTCCAAGGTCCCTTCTAACTCTGTTATTCTCAGTCCAGGTAGAAAACTTTTATAGGTAGTTCTCAAATTACAACAGTTCATTTAATGACATTTCAAAGTTACGACAGCCCTGAAAAAAAGTGACTTGTGACCATTTTTTCACATTTAAGACCATTGCAGCATTCCCATGATCCCATGATCAAAATACAGATGCTTGGCAACTGACCCGCATTTATGACAGTTGCAGTGTCCTGGGATCAACGGATGACCTCTTGTGATCTTCTGACGAGCAAAATCAATGGGGGAAGCCAGATTCGCTTAACAACCATGTTACTAACTTTAACAACTGCAGTGATTCACTTAACAACTGTGGCCAGAATGGTTGTAAAATGGGGCAAAACTCACTTTAACAACAGAATTTTTTGGGCTCAATTGTGGTCGTTAAGTCAAAGATTACCTGTATTCAGGGGTGGGCTTCAAAAATTTTAGCAAGGGGTTCTCTGCCCGATTGCTGGGTGGGCTTGGCCACGGTGGGTGTGGCCTAGTCAGCCTCCTGCACCATCGTGGGGGTGGGGGAGCATTTTTGCTCTCCCCTGGCTCTGGAGGCTTTTCTCGGGTCTCCGGGAGGGCGAAAATGGCCTCCCCAGGTTCCGGAGGCCCTCTGGAGGCTGGAAACAGGCCTGTTTTCGGCCTTCCCGAACTTCCGGGAGGCCCATTTTTCACCCTCCCCAAGCCTCTGCGCGTGCCCTGCACTTACCTGCATCCAAAACGGGCCATGTGGGGACTCCTGGGAGGGGAGGGGAGGGGTGGGGTGGGCAGGGCCAGCCAGGAGTGGGATTTGGGGGTTCTCCGAACTGCACAGAATCTTAGCTAGAGGTTCTCCCGAACCCCTGCGAACCCGCAGCAGCCCACCCCTGGGCAAAACTCACTTAACGACAGAATTTTTTGACTCAATTGTGGTCGTAAGTCGAAGATTACCTGTATTCCAAATTATGAAAAGTGGGAGAGGTCTATTCTGTAAATTAGAAAGCACATAAGCAGAAGAAAATCAACTTGTCCTCCAGCATTGCCCAGTTTGTAAGAGAAAGTTTCAACCTGTCGTGTAATTAAGAATAATTTTTGGACAAGCTGAATGGTAAAAACACGAAGCTCTCCCTGAACACCCCCCCCAGAATTGCATCGCTCATGTTTAACTGTGAGGGGTTGCAAAGCGGCTTTGATACTGGCAATTACGGGGAGAGGAAGAGACCCATTAAGAACCGAGCAGTATTTGGGTTTTCAAAGGATTTTTAAATGATGTTCACATGACACTTAGAAATCTCCTTCGACGTCCATCTCCAGGACGCTCACTTCATCTTTTGTTTTTTACATGACATAATCTCCTTCAATTGCAAAAATGCATTCTAGTCTAGGAACCAGGGTGGATAAAAATCAATGATTTTTTTTAAAAAATAAAAAAATCAGATTTTTTTGATTTAAATCGGATTTTTTTGATTTAAATCGGATTTTTTTGATTTTTATCGAATTTATTTTAATAAAAAAAATTGGGGTAAAAATCTATCGTAAGATAGTTTTCTATTTAAGATACATAAATAATTTAGTTTATTCAGCATGAAATGGAGCTTAGTTATGTAGCAGGAGGCTGTATATTCTGCAACCCTGGGACCATCGGTGAGTCAACAGTGGGTCAAAGGAGTAGCAGAGATGACAGTTGCTCTTTAAAAATTATGATTTAAATCGAGTTGATTTAAATCAAGCCTTTTTACTAGTGATTTAAATCATGATTTAAATTGTGATTTAAATCAACTCGATTTAAATCAAATCCACGCTGCTAGGAACCCATCAAATATTATTTTGCCTTTTTTCAATTGACTTTTTCAAAAGTCAATCTTGTTTTAATCCCCTTCCTTTTTTTGGCATTTGTTTTTACTTTGTTTATTCAGAACCGACAGCGGTTCGTTTACTGGGTGGGATTTAAGTGTAAATGTTTCACATCCGGTACTCTGCCGGCTGGAAGGCCCCATTAAGTATCCACGGGGGCTGTTGTGGGTTGTGAGTGGTGGAACAGCCAGGCAGGATGCAAGCCAGATCTCACAGAAGACAGAAATGATCGTCCAGGCTCACTTATTCAAGAATAAATGGTGCTTCTTGACTGAACGTGGCTGGCCTGCTTATTTAGCATATGTTTCCTTTTCTTTTTAAGCTCTGTATGTTCGGCATTGCCAGTCCTAAGTTATCTCTTCTCTACCCCAGGGCTTGTTCCAGTATCCTCTTGCTTCGTTCCACACGTGTTGTCCTTCCAGGATCTAGCTTTCTAGTCCTCGGTCTCTAGACTTCCCTCACCTGCTTTTGTCTCCGTCCTCGCCCATCCCCTGGCAAGGCCAAGGAAGCATGGCACAGTCCGGTTCCAACTCCCCAATCCACTGTAACCTGCAACCTAGGGGCAACCCTGCCCAGCCTGCCACGCGATTCTTCTTTCTTTCAACAATTCCTTCCTTCCATCTAGTTCTTCCTTTCCTCTCCTCTTTTCTTCCACCTATTTCTTCCTGTCCTTTCCTTTCTTCCATTTCTTCCTTTCCTCCTTCCATCTATTTCTTGCTTTTCTTCACTCTTTCCTTTCCTTCCTTCCTTCCACCTATTTCTTCTTTTTCTCTTTCTCCCTTCCTTTTGCCTATTTCTTCCTTTCCTTCCTGTCCTTTCCTCCAATCTACCTCCTTCCTTGCTTCTGCCAGTTTCTTCCTTCAATTTCCTTTCCTTTTCTCCTTCCATCTATTTCTTCCTTTCCTTTTGCCCCTTCCTTCCTGCCTATTTCTTCCTCTCCTTTTCTTTCCCCTTCTATTTCTTCCTTTCCTTCCTTCTAATCTTTCTTTCCATTCCTTTCCTCCTTCCTTTCCTCTGCCTATTTCTGCGTTTCCTTTCCTTTCCCCTTCTGCCTATTTCTTCCTTTCCTTCCTTCTAATCTTTCTTTCCGTTCCTTTCCTCCTTCTTTTCCTCTGCCTATTTCTTCCTTTCCTTTTCTTTCCCCTTCTACCTATTTCTTCCTTTCCTTCCTTCTAATATTTTTCCTTTTCTTTCCCCTTCTGCCTATTTCTTCCTTTCCTTCCTTCTAATCTTTCTTTCCGTTCCTTTCCTCCTTCCTTTCCTCTGCCTATTTCTTCCTTTCCTTTCCCCTTCTGCCTATTTCTTCCTTTCCTTCCTTCTAATCTTTCTTTCCGTTCCTTTCCTCCTTCCTTCCTTCTGCCTATTTCTTCCTTTCCTTCCTTCTATTTCTTTCTTTCCGTTCCTTTCCTCCTTCCTTTCCTCTGCCTATTTCTTCCTTTCCTTTCCCCTTCTGCCTATTTCTTCCTTTCCTTCCTTCTATTTCTTTCTTTCCGTTCCTTTCCTCCTTCCTTTCCTCTGCCTATTTCTTCCTTTCCTTTCCCCTTCTGCCTATTTCTTCCTTTCCTTCCTTCTATTTCTTTCTTTCCGTTCCTTTCCTCCTTCCTTTCCTCTGCCTATTTCTTCCTTTCCTTTCCCCTTCTGCCTATTTCTTCCTTTCCTTCCTTCTAATCTTTCTTTCCGTTCCTTTCCTCCTTCTTTTCCTCTGCCTATTTCTTCCTTTCCTTTTCTTTCCCCTTCTGCCTATTTCTTCCTTTCCTTCCTTCTATTTCTTTCTTTCCGTTCCTTTCCTCCTTCCTTCCTTCTGCCTATTTCTTCCTTTCTACTCCTTTCCCCCTTCCTCCCTCCCTCCCTCCCATCTATTTCTCCCATCCCCTCCCTCCCTCCTTCCATTCCTCCCTTCCCTCCTTTCCCCTCCTCATCCCCAAAGGCGAGCCTGCCCGCCCAAGAGAGACCTCGCCCACCACCCCAACCGCCACCCAGACTAGGAAAGCGCTCCCGCCCAAGCCCCTCCCCTCCCACACGATTCCGAAGGAGGGCGGGGACCTCGTCCTCCCCACCGCCCTCTTCTCGCGAGACTTCACCCGACCGCCATTGGCCCGGGGGCGCGGCGCGCCGGCATGACGTCATCCGTGCGGGCGGCATCGACAAGAGCAAAAGAGGCATGGCCGCCTTCGGCTTAACGGTCATCCGGCAGTGAGTATCTGGGGCCCCCCGGGGAGCTGCTATGCGGAGCCGCAGAAGGAGAAGGCCGTCGCGGGGCTCAGCCTACCTTCGCGGCTCTTCCGCCGGGCCCTGTGGGTGGTGCACGGGCGCAGCGCAGCCTCCTGGCCCGAGGGAAGAGGGCGACCCAGCCGTTTGGCCAAGCCCGCTAAAGAAGCCCTGAGACCGGGGGGGATGTTACCTCGAGGCTGAGCCTCCCAGAGGGACGGGAGCGGGTGTTTGGCCTAGCGGTTAAGGCACCACGCCTGGAAAGCAAGGAGATCCCCGAGTTCAAGTCCCACCATAGCCATGAAAGGCAGCAAAGTAACCCTGAGCCAGCCCCTCTCTCCCTCTCTCTCTCTTAGCCCAACCCCACCTCACAGGGTTGTTGTTGTGGGTAAAATAGGAGGAGGAAGGTGTGTTGGGTTTTTAGGGTTCATGGCCCTGAGTTTGTTTATAAACTCAGTTTGTAAATTGTAGGAAGTTAGCACCCTCCCCTTTCCTGGAAGAGTGAAATATTTTAGGAAATATGAAAAAGGCAGAATATTATATTTCCCTGGATGAGAAATGGATAAGTATGGTTTGAAGCAGCTCCCATCTTCCTGCCCCCACCCTTTGTCAATGGGCCATTAAGGCCTGGGCCAGTCTATTCTACATAACAAAGATCTATCTCCTTCAGGCAGAGCCATTGTAGGAATTGCCAAAGATCCAACAAAGATAGGATTAGCCCTCTACCATCTAGCAACAGAAACTCACCACATGGCACCTGGGAAGATTACATCAGCCAGCAAGGCTAGCTAAGACCCCCACCCCCTGGAAGTCTGACAACCAATCAGGATACTCTTTCTGGGCCCCAAGAAATGCAAAGCCAGAGAGAGCATAAAAACCTGAAGATTTACTCTATCTGCCCTTTTCTGTTCAGGAACTCAAGCCATGTGATCCTTGTCCACCATTAAACCATCTTTCCAAGCAGTCTCCATGTTTCCAGTGTCTTTCCCAACTTGGAGCAGAACCTAGAAGGAGATTTCTTCCAACATAAATAATTGCCAATTATTGGCAATAATTATTCCAATTGCCCCCATTAAAAATCAAATTACCCTGTGGGCCATTGTCTTCACACATAATTGTGGCAAGCTATTCCCAGATAGACTTGAGGGAATTTTTAAGTGTTTAGCCAACCCTGTGTGGCCCACAGAAGGCCATCCCTCTTGGTCCCTCCCCCAAGGTGATAATATCATCCTGATTATCTATTTACATAATTTAGATCACTGGCTTATCAGTATCCCATTACTTTAAAGACACCACTTAGGTTTTCTTTAAACATATTTTCCACTTCCTGTTCTTGTAGTCAGTATCTATGTACTAAGATGTCTAACCTCAGATTGTGCTCACAGTTTACTACTCAGTTTGTGGATTGATTGCTCAGAATGATTGGTTGTAGATATATACCTTTCCACTACATGTTATCCATGATCTAATTACCAAGCAGCCATTAATTCCACTTTTGTGCCCTACCTGGAGTTATCCCAAAAGTGCTTTTTTTCAAGAGGCAACTGAACTTTCTGGTTTTTCTTTGAAGAAGTTTCGCTTCTCATCCGAGAAGCTTCTTCAGAGCTGAAGAAACTTCTTGGATGAGAAGCAGAGTCCAGTTTGCCTCTTGAAAAAGCATCTTTGGGACAACCATGACCTGGATGACTTGAGAATCTCCATAGACATTTACCTGGAATTGTGATGCACCTTAATTCCAATGGGTGCCATTACATATGTTAAAAGTTCCTCAAAGGACTTTTGATGGTCTTCATCAGCTACTGTATTTTTCGGAGTATAAGATGCACTTTTTTCCCTCCTAAAAGAGGCTGAAAATTTGGGTGCGTCTTAAACTCCAAATGTAGCGAGTGAAGCGATCTGCGTGCTAAGCTTTTTTTTCAGTGAAGCCATCTTCCCTGCTTTGTCTGCTCCCAACGACTCTCTGCTGTGAAGCTTTTTTTCAGCCCTAACGAGGCACTTGCAGTGAAGCTATCTCTGTGGTTTGCCTGCTTTTCTCATTGCTTCTCTCTCCAAAGATCGGTTGTGCTTTAGAAGCTGTTTTTTATCCCCAAGCAGGGGATAAAAACCAGCAAACTAATGTGCTGAAGGACACTAGCCAGATGAATACCTGGTAGGCAGATTTTTTTTCCTCCTATTTTTCTCCCCAAAAACTAAGCTGCGTCTTATACTCTGAAAAATACGGTAATTTGAAACCATCTCCATCACTTCTAGAGGGAGTTGGGATTAATATCAGCAGAATCCCTTTATCTTTCCTGACTACTAGTAAAAGCCTATTGCCAGTGCATCTTTCACTCAGGGTAGGTAATCTACATTTTATATACTGTATCGAGTTAGACTTCATATCACAGGAAACTTAGGGGAAAAACGTTCTATAAGGTCTTAGTTCTCTTATGTAGGCTTACATAAAACCTTTTAGCCCTCCTTAGTCAGCTAATGCAAGTCAAACCACTCACATCCACCTCATGGATTTTGGGGGACGGGTAGGATACAGATTTCCTTCTAGATCAGTCTATCCCCGAATTCACTTCTAAGTTTATGAATGATCTTCATTTTAAACCAGATTCAAGATTGAAAATTACAGTGCAGAAATTTCAGTTGAAACAAATGTGGAGTAGCTCTCCTCATTCCTGAATACATCATTACCAAAATAGTATCTTCTTCAGCACTACCTTAGTGTACGTATACTTCCAGTAACTATTCCTCAACTGAACTTTTCTGACAATCCTTGATTTGGAAAGAGCATTTCAACGCATAAATTCAAATTAAGGTATCTCCCAAAGACTGAATAACGGCTCGTGAAGAAGAGCTCATATCTTCCTCTGGGAAAAGTTACGTTCTTAGCTGCTCTTAGCATTAGGAAGATTTTTCTAGCATCCAACCAGACTCTTCCTTTATGTAATTTGAGATGGTTGTTCCTGGTTCTATACTCTGTGATGACCCAGAATTGTCTGTGTAGTACCCTTGAAAAATCCTCAGTGATTTTGTTTTCTCAAGTCTAACATAACCACTTTTCTTAGTCTCTCGTTGTGTTTCTTTGCCCCCCCATTCTAGTTTCTCCAATGGTTCTTCAAGTTTGGTGTTTAGAACTAAGTGCAGTAGTGTAGCCCCTTATCAGTTTATAAAACAAGGACTACGCTTGTCCATTATTTCCATTTATAAAAATGCTTCTATTGAAGCTGCTCTTTAAAAAGACATTTCCACACTGCTAACTTCCACAGAATTTACAACAGATTCTTTTTTTTTTTTCAGTTTACATAACGATAAACATTTTTTAACAGTACTGTGTCATGTGTCTCTTACAGGTATTTACATTTATTCCTATACATTCTTGTTTCTCTGTTCTAACCAGTTATACCGCTTATCCCTGTTACTATGTGTAGAATAATGTATTGGAGTTGCTTCTTGATCTTTCAATTAATCATTCCTAATAAAAATAATTCAGCTTTGAATTCAATTTGTTCTCCTGTTATCTCCTTCAGCCATCCCCTTATCTGTTCCCAATATTTTTTTGCTTTGGGGCATTGCCACCACATATGATAAAATGTTCCCTCTTTGTACTTACACTTCTAGCACTCCGGTTTCATATTTGCATACGTTTTAGCCAATTGCTGGTGTTAAATGCCACCTATAAAACATTTTGTACTGATTTTCTGTGTATGCAGTTGACAGTATTAATTTATAATGTGTTCTTGTTCAGCTTTCTTTCTCCCTTTTCATCCAAGTAACTGTTGAAAATATTGAAGAGTACTGGGATCAGAACCGTGGCAACCCTAATTCTATACCTCATTTTAGTGGATGAAGAACATTAGATAAGCACCCAAAGGTACTTTTTAAAAGGCAGCTTGATTTTTTTCCTTGAAAACTTTTTGCTTCTCATCCAAGAAGCATCTTTAGTTTGTATAGACATATAGATAAGCACCCTTTTGACTATAATTTACAAGCCAGCTATGGGTTCACATGTGAAACTTGCCATGCAACTTATACTTCACTTGCTTGGTATTTCCCTTGTCCTGATTCTTACATTCTATAGTTATATCATTTATGAAAAAAAAAAGCCAAGACTGATAATGCTTCTTGGCAATTCTCCAGAATTTCTGAAAAAAAAGTAATGGATGGAGATTTGGCTAGGCCATCAGCCAAGTTCCTTTAATATCTCAAGAGGGAGTGCACCTGGTTGTGGAGATTTCCTTTTATTCAAGGTCAGTAGATAGTCCTGGACTATTGAGTTCAGCTTGGCATTCTGTTCTTCTTTCAAATAGCTCTTGACAATTGTGCTTATCTCTTAGAGAAGACCAGAGAGGACCAAAATAAGAGTTGAGTCTATCTGTCTTTTCTTTGTTATCCATTAGCATTTTCCTGTATTCACTGAGCAGGTGAGATAATAACATTTTTATTTTAAATGAATGTGAAACTTGTTAAACTATACTCATTCTGAACTTGGTTTTCTTAATACCATCTTCACAAATCTGCGTTGCCTGTCTGTACTCTTCCTACACCTGTTTCTAGTTTTACTCTCTGTTTTCTTTCAGGTTTTCAAATGTCTTTTTGTGTGTGTGTGCAACAATGTGTCATTATGTCTATTTCAAGAGCAAACAACCTTTAAAGTGTGAATAATGACCTCTAAAAACACACGCAGTGATGCTAATAAAAACCATTGGACCAAAATTTTCTTCCCCTCAAGCATAGTAGGCAACTTCATTCGGCTTTTATTTATTGTTTATTTATTTATTTACTGGTTCGATTTATATGCCGCCCTTCTCCGGAGACTCAGGGCGGCTTACAATGCGTTAAGCAATAGCCTTCATACTTTTGTATATACCTGCTTAGTACGGCTTTCGGGGGCCCCTAAGCAGTGTTCTTTTTTATACAAAGTCAGCTTATTGCCCCCACAATCCGGGTCCTCATTTTACCTACCTTCGAAAGGATGGAAGGCTGAGTCAACCTTGAGCCTGGTAAGATTTGAACTCGCAGTAATTGCAGGCAGCTGGCAGCTAAGTGCTACTTAACAGCACTTTAGTCCGCTCCACCACCAAGGCTCCTTTTCTAGTTGATAATTCAAATCATGAGAAACTCCGCTGTTCCAGAATGCAGTTTTGCTTATTTTCCATAATTATGTAGAAATGCTGCTGAATACTGTAGAGGCTGCCAATGATAAAAAATAATTTATAGTGTCTTATGTTGAAAGCAGTAAACTTCCTTCCAAAGCTAGGATCTTGTGCGGCTGAGGAAAATTCTAATGTATTAAAAGATTTTAAAAATTATGTTCTTGTAATTACGGATTTTTAAATCAACAGCAGTGAGAATGAAAAGGACAGTTGTGATTCTTTTTTTTTTCTCAAGCATTAAAAGCATTTTCTAAAGTGAGTGTTACAATTCAAATACCTTGATATGAACATTGCAAAACTCTTACTTTGCTTGTTCAATTGATTATTTTTACTGTTGTATCAAATTGTTTAGTGAAGCACAAGGGAAAAAAAATCGAGACTTAATTTGAAATTTTGATTTCAACTGGCTGATATCAGTATAAGCAGAAGGTTACCTACTGGCCAACTCTACAATCTATTGAATTCTGATCGAGAAAGACAGGGATAATTAACAACGAGAGCTAAGTAGGTGTCTCTCAGCCAGAGTCAACCTGGGTTGCTTCCTCTTCTCTAATGAAATTGTCTGCGCATATTGTTAAATTAAGTATTGATTGCTTTAATTGGGTTGTCTGTTTATCTTGTTTATAGCTCTACATATTTAACTATTCAGTCTTCTTACTAAACATAATCCGCTTTTCATTATTAATGAACAGAATAGAATAGAATAGAATAGAATAGAATAGAATAGAATAGAATAGAATAGAATAGAATAGAATAGAAGTTGGAAGGGACCTTGTAGGGCATCTAGTCCAACCCCCCACCAAGCAGGGGACCCTACACCATTTCTGACAGATGGCAGTCCAGTCTCCTTGAAAGCTTCCAGTGATGAAGCTCCCGCAACTTCTGAAGGCAACTTCTGTTCCATTGGTTGACTGTTCTCACTATCAGAAAATTTCTCCTTATTTCTATGTTGAATCTCTCCTTGCTCAGTTTCCATCCGTTATTACAAACACCCGCGAAAACCCCAGAAAACAAATAATATATGTATGTATGTATGTATGTTTGTTTGTTTGTTTGTTTTTCTTTCTTTTTCGTAGATTTTATATGTATTTCTCTTTAGCCAGATTCTACCTACGTAAACCACGATATCATGCAGCCCTAGTTCAGTGAAATCACAATTCACTAGTTTCTGGGCTTTTTTTCTTCTGGCAGCCAGCAGACCAATGGGCAGCAAAGGGTCTGCTGGCTGCCAGAAGTAAAAAAGCCCGCCCAGAGAGGAAAACATCTTTCTTGAAATGAGTTAACTGTAGTATGTTTTCTTCCTGTTGGAGTTCCCTGTTTTTTTGCTGCTGTTTTTTTTGTATATAGATGTCAGGTATTTCCTCTTAGGAAATGGGAAGGGAATATGTTCCCTTCGCACATATGTGCTAGGCATTCCCAACTCTAGGGGGCGGTGTTCATCTCCGTTTCAAAGCCGAAGAGCCAGAGCTGTCCGAAGACGTCTCCATGGTCATGTGGCCGGCATGACTAAACGCCAAAGGCGCACGGAACGCTGTTACCTTCCCACCAAAGGTGGTCCCTATTTTTCTACTTGCATTTTTTACGTGCTTTCGAACTGCTAGGTTGGCAGAAGCTGGGACAAGTCACGGGAGCTCACCCTGTTACGTGGCACTAGGGATTTGAACCGCTGAACTGTCGACCTTTCGATCGACAAGCTCAGCGTCTTAGCCACTGAGCCACCACGTCTCTAATTTCCTCTTAGACCCTTTTATTGTTTGCATTGGTTCTGGCAGGCCTTGGTCATTCTAATCCACCCCGTTGATCACATAACACTTCCTCACTGATCATATAACACTATATCTAACCCCAAATACAGATTCATACCAATCTTTCCGGCTAGGAAAATGATTAGTTTTCGCTTCTTAATCTCTCACAATTCTCCTGATCATTTTAGTGACGTGCATCCCTGCGAATCAAGTCAGGGTTAAGGAGTCATTGGTAGATCCCTGGAGCGATGCCTGGGCCTCAAGAGAGGGCAGGGAACATGTGCCAGTGCCTCTTCATTATACAGTAAGCATCCCCGCCAGCAATGTTGGTGTTTGTGCCTGTGACAAAATTGTACGTTTCGTTAGCGGTGAAAGACTGGGATAGCCCAGCTGAGTCAGTGCTGTAAGAGCCAAACAACATTAAAAATTCCCGGCTAAAAGTTCTCAGTCAGAATTGGTTTTTCTCCTGTTTGAAGTTGTTGGTTTCTGTTTGTTTTTTTCCTCCCACAGTGGACAAACGAGATACAACAAAGAGAAGATAATGCAAGGTTTGTCACTCTTGGTGGTTATTAAATCACAGAGCCCTTTACTTATATTTGAATATTGATTCGTTCACTTATTACAGGTAGTCCTCAACTTGTAACAGTTCCTTTAGCGATCATTCACAGTTACAAAGGCACCGGGGGGGGAGAAATGACACTTACGACACAGCCTTCCCACCGTCACGTGATCAAAATTCGGTGCTTGGCAACTGGCGTGTATTTATGACGGTGGCAACTGGCCCCGGGGTCACGTGATCAGCTTCTGCAACCTCCCTACAAGCGAAGTCCACGGGGAAGCCAGATTCATTTTTAACGACCGTGCGACTAACTTAAACCACCGGAGCGACAAGCGATGGCAAGAAAGGTCATAAAATCGGGGAATTGTCTCACTTAGCAACAGAAAATTTTGGGGCTCGGTTGTGGTTGTAAGTTGAGGACTACCTGTACTACGTATATCTGAGGCAGTGGGGAACAGCCACAGGAGCCCAAAAGGGGACTTTCCTGCTTCCACGATGTGAAGAGTGCGGCCGCGCGGGTGGTTATGGGAGTGTCGTGGCGTTCCCATGTAACACCTCTCCTGCGCGAGCTGCACTGGCTCCCAGTGGTCTTCCGGATGCGCTTCAAGGTTTTGGTTATCACCTTTAGAGCGCTCCATGGCTTAGGACCTGGTTATTTACGGGACCACCTGCTACCACCAATAGCCTCCCACCGGCCAGTACGCTCCCATAGAGAGGGGCTCCTCCGGGTTCCGTCGGCCAAACAATGTCGACTGGCGGCCCCCAGGGGGAGAGCCTTCTCTGTAGGGGCACCTACGATCTGGAATGAGCTCCCCCCGGAGATACGGAGGATCCCGGATCTGCGCACCTTCCGTCACACGCTCAAGATTTTTTTTAGTTCATCAAACTGGCCTGGCCTAAATCTTTTAAATGTAAATCTTTTAAATGTAAATTTTAATTTGTTTTTAAATTATTGGGTATTTTAAATTTGTCTCAGCCAAATTATTTAATTCGTTTTTATTCTATTTTAAATTTTTGTATTTATGTGTTTTATTCTGTGGCTGTTCACCGCCCTGAGTCCTTCGGGAGTAGGGCGGTATATAAATCCAATAAACAAACAAACAAACAAACAAGAAGGGGGTATCATAAGTGCTTTCACACGCTCCAAAACATCTCTTTTGAAGTTTGCACTGGGTTGGCGTCGTCCCAGGTGGTGACAGATGGGGCATCTGCCAGGAGAACAGATTCCCCTGCCCCCTCAGTTTTCTGAGTGACTTCAAAACAGGGTGGATTAAAAATCGATGATTTTTAAAAAAATTTAAATTGGTTTTTTTTTTAATCAAATTCATTAAATATCTAAAGATAGTTTTCTATTTAAGATACATGAATAATTGAGTTTATTCAGCATAAAACGGAGCTTTGTTACGTAGCATGAGGCTGTATATTCTGCAATATTGGGACTGTCGGTGAGTCAACAGCGGGTCAGAGGAGGAGCTGCTGCGGGCCACAGATGACAGTTGCTCTTTAAAAATGATGATTTAAATCGAGTTGATTTAAATCCAGCCGTTTTACTAGGGATTTAAAAGATGATTTCAATCGTGATTTCAATCGACTTGATTTCAATCAAATCCACCCTGCTTCGAAACAACTGCTTAGAAGTCTGTTTTCAAGGTCCCACTGCAGGTGTAACCAAGGGTGTGGATTTGCTGCTGAATTTACAGTCACCAACTCCTATATAAGAGGAAGAATTGTTGCCTTAAAAAAATTGTTTTGTCCTCGCTAATTGTCCAAAAGTATTGATTAATTGCAGTTCAGCACAGGTAAAGTACAGAGGTATTCCTCAACTTACCACCGCTCGTTTAATGACCATTAGAAGTTACAATGGCACAGTGAAAAAAGTGACTTACGGTATCCCCATTGTTACGTGATCAAAATTTGGACACTTGGCATCTGGTTCGTATTTATGATGGTTGCAATATCCCGGGGTCATGTGATCCCCTTTTTGTGACCTGACGAGCCAAGTCAGTGGGAAGTCAGATTAGCTTAACAACCGTGTTACTAATTTAACAAGTATAACAGATTCGCTGAACAACTGTGGAAGAAAAGTCGTAAAATGGGGCAAAGCTCAACCGTCTTTACTTAACAACACAGCTCTTGGGCTCTGTCGTTGTAAGTCGAGAATTACCTATAGCGGTGATGGCTAACCTTTTTTTTCCTCGGGGGCCAAAAGCGTGCGCGCGATAGCACGTGCTCGCACGTGCCCACACCCATAACGCAATGCCCCTCACGCACGCCCCACCCCCTGCGCACGCATGCACAATCCCCCCCTGTACTGTCCCGCCCCCCTGCGCAGGCGCGTGCGCTCCCCCCCCAATGCATGTGTGTGTGAGACATCCCCGTACCCCGTTTTGGGCCTAGCAGGCCTCCCTGAATCCTCTGGAGGCCAGAAACAGCCCATTTCCGGGCTTCTGATAGACCCATTTTTATTTTATTTTATTTTATTTTATTTATTTTATTTTATTTTATTTTATTTTATTTTATTTTATTTTATTTTATTTTATTTTATTTTATTTTATTTTATTTTATTTTATTATTTTATTTTATTTATTAATTTGTATACCGCCCTTCTCCCAAGGGGACTCAGGGCGGTGAACAGCCAAAATTAAAATACATACAATACAAAAGTTAAGATAATTAAAAAAGATTAAATCAATCGGCCTCCCATTTTAAAACCCCAAGTCTATAAAATTTAAAAAATCCCATTAAAAACCCTTTAGGCTAGGCCGGCTTGCTGGAATAAATAAGGCTCTGGAGACTTTCCTGGAGCCTCCAGGAGGGCGAAAACGGCCTCCCCCAGCCCTCCGGAGGCCGTAAACTTAGATCAGCTTGATCTAAGCTTAGTCGCGACAATTTTACCATCTTCACAATTCTACAGTTGGGATTAGGATGCTTTAGGGATCTCTGCCTCCTGACCACAAGCTTGCCAAAGGAAAGCATAAGGATAGTGCTGAGCCTGTCTGGTTTACTCCATTCTGCCTCTTGAGCCAGTGATTCTATGTGGCCCTTCACAAGCTCAGATAACTAAACAGATGTTTTTTTAAGTTAGGACCACATAACGCAAAAGAAAGGAAGATGCATTTAGTTACCGAATTGTTGACTTTTTCAGAAATGGCCTAAGCCCCTGATGGCGAACCTATGGCAGGCATGTCACAGGTGGCACACAGAGCCCTCTCTGCGGGCATGCCAACCGTCGCTCCGGCCCAGCTCCACTGCGCATGTGCGCATGCCTCCCAGTTGGCCAGTTGGTCTTTGGGTCTCTGCTGCGCATGCGTGGGGGGGCAGGGCCTTCCCCAATCTCTGCAGGTTCCCTCCCTCCCCCAGTGCACCCTACCTTTCTACTACATTTCTGCCACCCGTGCCTTCCTCGATCTCTGCAGGTTCCCTTCTCCCCAGCGCGCCCTATCTTTCTACTCTATTTTTGCCGCTGATGCCCCCCCCCCCCGTGCCCCGTTTTAGGCCTGGAAAGCCACCTGCACCAACCTGGAAGTCAAAATGGGGTGCCGGGGGGGGTCCAGGACGCATGTGTCGGGGACACGCGGATGCGCAGGGGGTACTCACATTGCATTTGGGGGGTTTGGGCACACGTGTGTGCATTCACACGTGCACGCTTTCAGCACTCGGCACCAAAAAGGTTAACCATCACTGGCCTAACCTCTTTTAGAAGGGCCTCCCTTTTTGGCTGAATGCTTGTCCCTGATCTTTGGAGAATATCAACTGATGAGGGCTAAAACATGCTTGTTCTTAACTGTTGGATGCATTCCCATGGTGGCTCTTGCAGGTCAGGGTGTGGACGAGCCTCTCTCCGAGACTGGGTTCAAGCAAGCCAATGCAGCTGGGATGTATCTCCGTCATATCAGGTTTACTCACGTCTTCACCAGTGACCTGATTCGGGCAAAGCAGGCAAGTATCTTGTAGGTGAAATTGTGCATGAAGAAATATTTAGACTTGTTGGGAGACCTAGAAATTTAATAAGCGGTCATAATTCTAGGGGGGTTGTTTTTGGAGTTCATTTTATGTGTGTGTGTGTACATGGGATAAGTACTGCAAAATTGTAATGATTAGTGAATTGATTAACAATACAGTCTTAAAGTTGCATTCATAGATGGTAAAAAATAAACTTCCACTTTTAATTAGTTTGCCTACTCTTTAATTCTACTTTATAGACATTAGGTATGTTTGCCGACCTGAGTTATTTATAAAAATTATAAAGGTGGAATAAAAAAAATCTATACATTCAATTTCATAGCTACTAAGATTGTTGGCCAAGCAGGTACAAAAACAGCCAGGGAAATGATTGAAGCCTGGGAAACGGGCCTCTTGTCAGTCAACAGGGGTGCTGATTTATCACAAGCTTATCAGGTATTTAGGAGCCGAGGGCTTGGCAGCACAAGGAAACGCCAGCCAATCGCCAGCCATCCACACACCAATCAGCTAATAGGAAGGCACCCCATAAATACGACTCACAAAATAGCCCAAAGCATGTAATCCAGTAGAGAGGAGTTCCCTAAAAATGAACTCCCAACAGGAGTTCAAAGGCTCGGGAGAGTAAACCTCTGGTCCCGGTGGCCGACCCAGATTCAGTCTTCCAAGATTATCCTGGGACGAGTAGTCCTTGACTTATAGCAGTTCATTTAGAGACTGTTCAAAGTTACAATGGCATTTGGAGGGCGGTGGGGGAATGATTTATAGATACGTGATCAAAATTCAGACACTTGGCAATTCTTTCATATTTAAGACAGTTGCAGTGTCCCACAATCCCCTTTTGACAAGCAAAATCAATGAGGAAGCTATATTCACCGTGTTACTAACTTCTCAGCTGCAGCAATTCAATTAACAACTGTGGCAAGACAGGTCGTAAAAAAGGGACAAAATTCACTTAAGAAGTATCTCACTAAACAACAGGAATTTTTGGGCTTAATTGTGGACATAAGTTGAGAACTATTTGTATTTCCATTTTTTTCTTTTTTTTAATTTGTAAACCTCCCAGAATTATTAAGGAGTCAGCCTTGACATCTGGAAATAAATGCAAGTTTTAAAAAAAGTTTTTTCAACATTCATTTTAACATTTCAGACCACGGCTTCAATTCTTACACATAGCCAGCACTGCAAAGAGATGCCTGTAAAATGTGATGCCCGCCTTCGAGAACGGGTAAGTCTTTCTTTGCCCCTATAGAAGATCAATGCCAGGTTCCCATGGCATTGGCAGCGTGAACTCTGCAGTGCAGGTGCTGGGCCATGGTGCAGATTTAATAAGAACTGAGTAGAATGGGACTGAGGCCTGATCACTCTGCTTCGGTTGGCTGCCTTGTCCCAAAGGTGCGTCTTATAGTCCAAAAAATACGGTAATTCTCTCTCCTGTCTTGACAGAAATACGGAGTGGCGGAAGGGAGGCCTCTCAGTGATCTTAAGGCCATGGCCAAGGAAGCTGGGGAGCCATATCTCTCTTTTACCCCTCCTGGAGGAGAAACCCTGGATGAAGTAAGGATTCTGTTTGGGGTTTGGGGTCCGTTGGGAAGCAACTGGCTTAACCTTTATGCATTTGTGAATGGCTGAGAAGGCAGCAAGGGTCTCGCTAAAATATCTCCAGCAAGCAGAGAGACTCAAGCTGAACTGCAGAAGAAAAGCAGCAGAGGGAAGGAAGAGGCAGCTGTTCTGTCCCCGTCCTACACACGCACACAAACAGACAGCCGGGGGTTAAATAAACTGGCAGACAACCAATTCTTCCGATAAGACGCTTGGCAGCAACCCAGTAGCTGCTTGCCAAGAACTTTTACTCAATAAACAAAATACATAGTCAAGAATTGTCCAGTTCGTAAAATAAATCCAAGGCAGATGATGTTGTTTCCAAAGATGCAATGTGACTCGATAGTAGTTAGTTTTGTCCGTCACAGAGTCTGAATGGCCACCTCACCCCCTTTTATACCCTGTGGGGTGTGGTCCAGTGACTCAGCCTAATCTCTGGCACGCCTCTTCTGTTGTGCGCGCTTATCTCTGCGACGCTGCCAAGGATCCAGCCAAGACTCATTTCCCTCATCACTGTCCATCTGTGGCTGCGTGGATGTGCTTGGCTCCGGCTCTATCTCTTGCCCTTCGGCGGACACCGAAGGCATTGCCAGAGAGGAGGGTCCTGGAGAGGGAGGCCTTGCCAACTCCTCTCCTTCACTCTCGGAGTCCTCTCCTGCCGACGACACAGGCTCAGGTAACGGAGCCACAACAGCAGCTAAGATGCCCATGTACTTGCACAGCTGTAGTAGGTAGACGTGTGTGCAAATCCTTTTGACAGGTATCAGTCATACGTCATTCATATATGCAGGCTTTGCAAGTACAAGTGCAAAAGGTTCACACCACCTCCTCCTCGATGGATGTGCACACTGTACCCACAAGTACATCTTTTATATTCTTTACATTGTGCAGCCATAGCAGCCACATCTTTCTCTCACACACATAGAATAGATTAGAATTCTTTATTGGCCAAGTGTGATTGGACACACAAGGAATTTGCCTTTGGTACATATGCTCTCAGTGTACATAAAAGGAAAAAAAGAAAAAAAATATATTCATCAAAAATCATAAGATACCACACTTAGTGAGAGACAAAGCTTACTAATAGGTAATCAAATCATACTAGGAAACAATCAGAACAATATAAATCGTAAAAATACAAATGACCTTGTTATAGTTATTGGTAAGGCCACACTTGGAATACTACATTCAGTTTTGGTCTGAATGACTCTAGAAAAAATGCAGAGAAGAGCAACAAAGATGATTAGGGGACTGGAGGCTAAAACATAGGAAGAACAGTTGCAGGAACTGGGTATGTCTAGTTTAATGAAAAGAAGGACCAGGGGAGATGTGATAGCATTGTTCCAATATCTCAGGGGCTGCCACAAAGAAGAGGGAGTCAAGCTATTTTCCAAAGCACCTGAGGGCAGGACAAGAAGCAATGGATGGAAACTAATCAAGGAGAGAAGCAACTTAGAACTAAGGAGAAATTTCCTGACAGTTAGAACAATTAATCAGTGAAACAACTTGCCTCCAGAAGTTGTGAATGCTCCAACACTGGAAGTTTTTAAGAAGATGTTGGATAACCATTTGTCTGAAGTGGTGTAGGGTTTCCTGCCTAAGCAGGATAAGCAAAGTCAACGGGGGAAGCCAGATTTCTTTATTGACGGCTTGATTCACTTAATAAGTACAGTGATTTGTAATCGGAGAACAAGAAGATAAATAATACTACAAGATATGGGACCTATTTTATCAATGGTTAGATAAAAAAATATGGAAATGAAATATGGTAGAGCCTGAGTGGCGCAGCAGACTAATGCTACTGTTAAAGGTAGTATTTAGCTTCCAGCTGCCTGCAATTACTGCGAGTTCAATTCTCACCAGGCTCAAGGTTGACTCAGCCTTTCATCCTTTCTAAGGTAGGTAAAATGAGGACCCGGTTTATGGGGGCAATAAGCTGACTTTGTATAAAATATACAAAAGTATGAAGGCTATTGCTTAACGCCTTGTAAGCCGCCCTGAGTCTCCGGAGAAGGGGGCATATAAATAAATTAAAAAAAAAGATCTTCACAATACAAGAATTGTAGAATTATGTGAAATATAACATAAAGATGTATTATTGGATAGACTTAGGATGAAATGAATGTTATAATGAAAGTTAACTCAAATCTTAGAATATTTTGAATAATAATGAGGGAAATAAATGATTAAGTGGATAATAATATATAAGATATATACTAGGTCGATGATATGAGAATTTAGGTAAACTGTAAATTGTAAGCTATGAATTTGGTGAAGATGCACAAAAGACTTGTAACCAACCGACACACTGTTTTGTAATTGAAGATGGTTTCATGTATGTTTGTTTAAAAATAAAAAAAAAACAAACAAACAAGTACAATGATTTGCTTGTGGCAAAAAAAGGTCAAAGTGAGGCGAAATCTGCTTAGTGACAGAAATTTTGGGCTTAATTGTGGTCGTTTGTCACAGACTACCTGTACTCCTCTCTTGGTTCTGTAGATCTCTTACAGGCCTTCAATACCATTGATAATTATAGTGAACTGGGATTAATTCTGCTGTCAGTCCTTTGGTTCTACTCCGTCCTCAATGGACACTTCTAGTCACAGGTTGAGGGAAGAGAACTCGCCTCATGGAAGAACAGGAATAGGAAGTGCTGAGGGCCACAGTGGATGAATATGAACCAAGGCCTTGAAAAGCTCAGGTTTACTTCCACTAATGTGGAAGTAAACAGAGACATTAACTCAAGTTTGGAGGAAGTTCAATGGAGTCATTCCGAGAGGGGGGACAAAATGTTAGCCCAGAGAGAAACTGAGCAAGAATTTCAGAGCTCACCTTGATAAAAAAACCTATCCCGCAATAACTTTGCAAAGCTTTTTGTTCCGACCAAGGCTTCCCAAGAGCATGAAGGGGACTCCTTGTCCCGACAAAAACCCCTTTTTATTAAGTTACTGTGAATTCCTCTCATTCACATCCAGCAAAGTCGTTTAAGGGAGAATTTACAGTCACAGACCGTATCTGGCTTGGAGAGATGCCAGGCCGATATCTTCAAAACTTGGCAAGGAGTCTTGGAGAGTCACGAACCAATTAAGCAAACTAATTATCTCCCCTTCCCCTTTTGCTCCTCTTTATTCCCTCTGGGAGGGGCCACTCACCATCCACCTGTGGCTTTACTCCTGAGTCGACCCTTGTTCCTTAGCTGTTCCCTTCTCTTGGCAGCTCTGTGCATGCGCACACTGGGAACAGGCTTCAGCTGTTCTTCAGCCCCACTGATGTCTGACTCCAAAGGCAGCTGTCAGACGGCCCTGGCCCCATCTCCCCAGACTCCACGACTGGCCCATGTTCCTCTCCAACCTCCTCACTGACTGAGTCTGCCACCAGCTCCGCTGACCGCTGGCGGGCCACAACACTTTTCATCTGATTTTTCTCTCCCTTCAGGTGAAAGCCCGCGTCAAGGATTTCTTCGAATACCTTTGCAGTCTTGTTGCCCAGGAGGCATGTCTAGAAAAACAAGTTTCCCCGGGGACAGAAGAAAATACAGAAACAGCAGAAGGAAGTTCTGCCACTTCGTTGCCAAACCACCACGATGGACCGGAATTAGAATCTAATTCCGAAGAAGCTGCATCTGGAGGACTGGTAGCCAACATCCTAGTTGTGAGTCATGGGGCGTACATGAGAAACTGGATTGGCTATTTCATTTCAGACCTGCAGTGTAGTTTGCCAGCCACGTTGACAAAGGCTGAATTGTCCTCGGTTACTCCCAATACCGGGATTAGCCGCTTCATTGTAAAACTGGAAATGAGGGAGAGCCTCCTTCCGCCTCAAATCCGCTGCCTTTTTCTCAATAGAAGCGATCACTTACGTGACATGAGTGACAGCTGAACGCACGTGGCTGTACGGCGTTTAACCCAGAAGGAAATTATTTATGCCCCGCGTGGAATCGCCATATTACCTTTTTTTTCAATTATGTTTGAAAACCTAGCATGTTGGAAAGAATTTTCCACTAAGGAATTTAAACTTTCGTTTGGCTTCTCCGTCTTTCTTGACCGGTTCACCCTTGTTGAAGGGAAAAAGAAAAAGAAAAAATAAAAGACAAGAACACAGCATTGGCTGGTGGAAAAGGTGATATTCCGGAGAAGTTCCTGGAACCGATTGCTGTTGTAAACGCTTTCCTGGAGCCATTAAGGAAAGGGCAGAATTTGAATAATACTGCAGAATAAATTAACAGGTGATCTTTAGATCAGGATTCCCCCAACCTTTCCGCCTCTGTGGACTGGCGGCAAGGCAGTGGCGGCAGCAGTGTGGGGAGGAGAGGGGACAGCTCGGGGCGTCCATCTGCCGCTTTCACAAATGCAGCTGTGCGCAAAACTATCCCTCTTTTCCCCCCTACCACCGTTTCCACCGGCCCGGAAAGGTTGGGGTTTTTACAAATGCAGTTGTGCGCATGCACGCACATATGTATTCGCCCACCACTTCCACGGCCTGGTTTCAAACGGGCCACGGGCTGCCACCAGGCCATGGACTGGGAGTTGAGGACCCCTGTTTTAGATGATTTAATCAGGATCAGACTGAGTGAGAGCATAATCTAGCTTCCCCTTTTAAGAGCAGGCCTCTCAAAAGAGTGGAACTGGATCCCTCTGCTGGATGGAACGTGGTGTGGGATGATCCCAACAGAAAGTTTAGACACAGTAGCTCTGCCTAAGAAACCAAAAAAAAAAAAATTCCCTATCTTTTGTTTTAATAATTTTAAATAACTTGGACAATTTAGCATCCTTTAGGTCTGGAGAGATTCTCAGTCCATCCATGGTTGTCCCAAAGGTGCTTTTTTTCCAGGAGGCAACTCAACTTCCTTGTATTCTTCTTTGAAGACGTTTCGCTTCTCATCCAAGAAGCTTCTTCACTCTAACTGGATGGTGGAGAACGGAAGGATTTATACTCCTTGCAGACAGCTGGTCACTTGCATCCATTTAGAAGGTCGTTGAAGCATCTGGAGGTTTATCTGTGGCCTCCAAGTGGCCTCCACGACTTTAAAAAGGATGCAAATGACCAGCTGTCTGCAAGGAATATAAATCCTTCCGTTCTCCACCGTCCAGTTAGAGCTGAAGAAGCTTCTTGGATGAGAAGCGAAACGTCTTCAAAGAAGAATACAAGGAAGTCCAGTTGCCTCCTGAAAAAAAGCACCTTTAGAATTCTTTAGTAATTGTTTTAATACAAAAGAAATAGGAGACAAAACCAGATCTGATCCTATCCCAGTCCAATTGTGTGCTGATGCACACTGTTCGTCCAGTGGTGAAATCCTCTGTGAGTTGCCACTGGTTTGTTGTCCACTCATGCGCGGTGCATGGCAAACACGTGCTGCACGTATGCACAGTGCACACCAAATGCACAGTGCGCACCAAGCACGCAACAGCGAGGGGGGAAGAGCTGTGCCGCACGATTTAGATTTACTAGAAAGCATTTCCTGCTTTCTACTGAGTGTAAATCGTGCAGCACAGCTGATCGTCGGAAATACCGGTTCAGACCAACCGGTAGCTTTTTTTTAACTACGGGTTCGCTCGAACCGGTGCAAACCGGTAGCATTTCACCTCTGCTGTTGTCCTAACAGGATTCGAGTTTGCTTTAGGAGAATTTGCACAAGGGAGCTCCCTAGTGGAATTTGCCTTATGATTATCCCTGGGAATAATCATGCAATATATATATATATATGTATATATATGATTTTTCTTTCGGAAAAAATAAAAAATGCTATCGAGCCAAACCATATTTTAAGTATAAGCAAGACGAAGGTGGACCTTCCGTGTTATTTTTGGCAACGTACTCCAAAAACCATCAGAGAATAGAGGGGGCTGGCGATGATTCTTCAACCACTACTTTGTGGTCGTTACTGAGAAAATAATGGTGCACTGTTGTTGTTGTTGTTGTTTTGTCACCTTGCGTTGGCCAGTAAAGCTGTCGCTCTAATGTGAATTATTCCGATGCATTCTGATACTTGTGGGCATTAGACTTGGGTTGTGATGATTCTGTTGTGAGACCCGGTCCCTTATTTATTCATGGAGGTAAGGTAGCACGTTTCTCTGTAACATGGAGACCAAACGCACGAGTCTTTACGCTGCATACTAACGCTCAGAAACTGGTCGATGGCTATTATGGTTTAGATGTTCTATCCCCCCACATGCCAAAGACGAAGAAGTCGTAACGCTTCACCGAGTCGTATTTGTGGAAAGTGCAATTAGGTCAATCAAGTTCTTTTTCTACACTTCCTTTCCTGGATGGCATTAAAAGAGCCAGTGGCCTCACCTCTTTGGAGAAAGGGTCCTGAGATGTGCCAGAAGGAGCATCATGCTTTGACATTCGAAATCTAGCTTTTCCTAGATAGAAAATATATACCTCCAAACATCCTCGCCTTGCATGCGCTGTTGACTCTTAATTTCAGAGATGCAGGAACTGAGGTCTTGTTTCTTTCTTTTTTTTTTAAATGTGTATCTAAGAGGCATAATTTTCAGTCAGTTGGTTTTCGTTGTGTTTGACCTCAAGCCCACGTCCTAAACTTTGTTAAATTATCAACTGCTCTGTATTTTAATGTATGCGAAACATTTGCCGTGTTTATATTTATTGAACCTTCAGCCTGTTGTTATTGTTATTCCTTCTAATAATGTTACTTTCGAGATCATTAAAATGTACACCTTTTGAGTGAGCCGCAAAAGTCTGGGGTTGTTGTTGTTGTTGTTGTTTTTGTAAAACAAACAAAGAAACCAAAACTATGGCTCCGTGAATGAGAGATGGAGTATGGCAGAACGTCAGAACGGGATGTGATGTGGTTACAGTATTTTTCACACTATAAGATCATCTGAACTCTTAAGACGTACTTAGCTTTTGGAGAAGAAAACAAGAAAAAAAAAATCTGCCTCTGCCTCCCAGTAATTTGCCTCCTTGCAGCAAACAGCCTGGTCAGCTTCAGCACAGCCTGATTTAGCATGAGCAGCTGATTGGCAGTTGGATCGGCCTCCTGGAATACCTCCTATCAGCTGTTCCAAGCTGCAGGGATTGCTGCCGCCCATCGCCGCTGCCTATCACCACCTCCTCATGCCCCGTTTTTGGCCTCCACGCATCCCGTTTTTAGCCGTTCCAAACGTTTGGCGGTGATAGGCAGCAGTGGCAATCCCCGCTGCCTGGAACGGGCCAAAAACAGGACACGCAGAGGCCGAAAATGGGACACACCGAGGTCGAAAATGGGGTGCGTGGAGGTGGCGATGGGCAGCGGCAACCCCCAAAACCTGGAACAGCTGATCGGGAGGCCAATCCAACCGCCAATCAGCTGCTCATGCTAAATCAGGCTGTGCTGAAGCTGACCAGGCTGATTGCTGTTTGCTGTAAGGAGGCAAATTGCTGGGAGGCAGAGGCCGAAGGGTGGGGGCCTGCAGGTGGGCAGGGCTTCGGCAACATTCGCTCTATAAGACACACAGACATTTCCACCCACTTTTTTGGGGGGGGAGTGCATCTTATAGACCAAAAAATATGGTAATTTAAAAGGAGAACACAAGGGTAAACACTGGATTGAAACAGGAACGTTTAATAAAGATATATTTCTTTCTTGAAAATATTTATTTTGTCTTCATGGGGAGACAGAATAACACACATAAATACTCATAAATACATCTTCAATCGGTAAATAATTCAAATAAATAAATATGGGAATAGAAAAATACATACATTGCCTTCTCATTATCTGCTTTATGGAGCATCTCAACTCCATTCTCCCGGAAAGGATGCTTATCTGCCCGTTCCCCTCCATCTGGTTCTTGATAACCCATGCCAAAACACCCAAGATTTGGCATTTCCTGCACAAAGCCTACCTTTGGCCGACAGGATGTGGGTCAGTATCCTGAATCCAGCTAAGGTTAGTCATGGGAGAATCCTTCTCAGACCCAAAGGAAGAAACTCATGGCGATGATCCTAGCTGAATTGGACTCCTCCTACTCCTTTTGGGACATTGTGAGATCTTAGCTCACGTCAGGCGCTGTTTGGGAAGAGGGCCGCCTACGAAAGAAGTAACTGCGGTGTCGTACCTATTCGTAATGCAGAACAATGAAAGCAGGTACCCCTCTTGTGAAGTCCTGTCTCTCGGTTTGGTGCTCAGAGCCTGCGGGATGTGCAACAATCTGGGATACCCAAAACGGGGGTGTCAAAATTTGATTTATTTGAGGGTTGTGCTTGACCTCAGGGGGCCAGGGTGGGCATGGCCAGCTCGATGTCACTCATTTCTGCAGGAAGGGAGCCTTGCCTGCCCGTTCCCCTCCATCTGGTGGTACATAGCCCATGCCTAGATGCCAAGATTTGGCATTTCCTGCACAAAGCCTACATTCGGCCAACAGGGTGATGGGATGGGTCAGCATTCTGAATCCAGAGGTTAGTCATGAGGGAGTCCTACTGAGACCCAAAGAAAGAAACTCACGGAGATGATCCCAGCTGAATCAGATTCTTTCCACTCGTTTGGGGATATTGTGAGATAATAGGTCCTGTCAGGTGCTGTTTTCGCTCCTCCGCAACAGTCTCAGTTTCTGATGTGGCTCCTTGAGAAAATAAATTCCCCACCCCAGTGGTGAAATCTAAACCTGTTTGCTACCGGTTCGCTGGCAGTGCATGCATAGTTCGCATCAAAAGGAAGCTTGGGAAGGTAAGTAGAACAGCAAGGGAGGGGGACGGAATCAGCTGTGGCGTGCGATCTTGGGAACCTTTTTAAAAGCTTTTTAAAAGCATTTTTTATTACCGATTCAGGCGAATAGGTAATAAAAAAATGCTTTAAAAAGTTTTTTAAAAAAAGGTTCCGACGATCACAGCTGTGCCGCGCTATCGTCCAAGCCATTTTTTTTACTTTTTAAAGCATTTTTATACTACCATTTTTTTTACTACCTATTCGCCCGAACTAGTAGTAAACAAATGCTTTAAAAGTTTAAAAAAAAAAAAAAGTTCCGACGATCAGCTGAGCGACGCGCAATCGTCAGAACTTTTTTTTTTTTTTTAACTTTTTAAAGCATTTTTAACTACCGGTTCTGGAGAACCGACCCAAACTGGTAGCATTTCACCCCAGCCAATCCCTGTAACTGCTGATCCAAAGATTTTGCTTCTTTAAAGGTTCTGGGCATTCATTTTTGATTTAAGAGTCAAAGCAAGTCAAAGATTCAACCGATGACATGTGGGCAACAGCACCATCTCTGCCAGTCAGCTGTGGGTGGGCTGTGGCATGACAAGAACTCTATATACTGTACAGCATTACAAGGGTGAAGCTTAAACACTGAAATGTAAATAGAGGAATTGATATAAAACTCGCCTGATAATCCCTGTTCCAGGTTCGTAATTCAGGCTGGTAAGGACCAGGGCTAGAACCGGGAAGATGCGTAAACGTAGTCCTTGAGTTACGACTACAGTTGAGCCCGAAATTTATGTTGCTAAGCAAAACATTTGTTAAGCCAGCTTTGCCCCATTTTAAGCCCTTTCCTGCCAGAGTTGTTAAGGGACTCACCAGAGTGGTTAAGTTGGTAAGACCGGTTGTTAAGTGAACCTGCCTTCCCCATTGACTTTGCTTGTCGGAAGGTCACAAAAGGGGATTGCAAGACCCTATTGCACTGCAATCGTTCTGCCCTAGCTACGGACCCCAAAGAACGCAGCACACACAAAATCCGTTCAAACCTTAGTTTATTAAATAAATAAGTCTTTTACAACAACGGCTGTTAATTAATTGCATTAAAAGCTGCCAAGAATTCAAAGAATAATAACTGAAAGCTTACTATGGTTGGCAGAATGCCCAGAAGCAATTTGCAGGAAGCTAATAAGATAAGCAAGAGAAGACAGGAAGGTATGTGAACTAAGTTGTTCCCTGCAAATTGCTTCAGTCGGCGTTCTTCCTTAAATAGGCTAAGGGAGTGGCCAATTAGCCCCAAGCCTTACTCTCGAGGAGACCTCCTCCTGAGGAGCCACTCCTGCCTTTTGGCAGCTCTGCACGCCTGTGCATCGAGAAGAGGCTCCTCCTCTTTGTCCTCTTCTTAAGGGAGCTTAAGGGAGCTTCTGGAGGTTCTGAAGGCCCTGGCTGAATCCCCGCCTCTGGCACCACATCTTCTCCAGCCTCCTCATTGTCTGATTTGAGTGCCAGCTGCACAGGCTGCTGGCGCAGCACCACATCAGCCTCCTTGCTGTCTGAATCAGCTACTAGCTGCACAGGCCGCTGATGGGCCACAACAATCATCATAAAGACCAGTCAGTGGCTAACCATCTGAATTTTGATCACGCTATCCTGGGGATGCTGGAAAGGGTGAAAAATGTTCCTAAGTCCCCCCCCCTTTTTAGTGTTGTCGTAACTTTGGATAGTCACTAAATGAACTGTTGTAAGTCAAGGACTACCTGTACACAGCTGTGACCCCCATATTCTGAACAATTCATCTGAAAAAGGAATTTAGCTTTCTTTGACGGTTCAGGAGAGAAGTCCGGTTCTCATTTCAGGTTCACTGGCCCGTACGCAGGCTAGGAATTCTTCGCCTCACTGTGCTGTCGTTTTGATATGGAATGATGGGACCAAACAACATTCCTGGGTCAGCCAGAGACAGTTTTTATTGCGCAAGGTTCAGAGGCAGATTGGTTTTTGCTATCTGAACAAAGGAAAGAGATCTAATACCCCTGTTTTATACTTTTCCAAGACAAAGGATTTTGCTAGCACAGCAGTTTTCCATATATGGTTAACATACATCCATTATAAGATAATTGACATTTCCTAATTACTAAATTCCTATATTATTTTCTAATTCATAAGATGATTGTAGCTAAACATCCTTTATTAGTTCTGTGATTGCTGATGCATAGATTTATGTCTTCCTTGGTTCCATATGGATATCCTTACATCCTTGACAACTAGGCCCCTTCAGAAGATATATATATATATTACCCAGGATGTCCTTGACAACTAGGTCCCTTCAGAAGATATATATATATTATCCAGGATGTAATTTATCTGACTTAGTGTAATCTTCCAAACAAATATTGTTCTTCCAAACTAGCACATTTCTTTCTTACAATAGAGAGGGTCCTTTAGAGTCCATGTAGCTGACTCTGTATGATTCCTATTTTATTTACCTTATTCACATTATTCCCCCCTTTTGAAGTTTTTCCATGCAGAAACTTCAACCATTCCCTACATAGTAGATAACATTCTATACTTTCTATTAATTAAACAAAGCAAACATATAATATCTAGCAAAATACGACTAATTCAGGCAAGGGATGGGTATTTCTTGATCTTCATTCCCGTAAGCCTTGGAGGTACTCTCTCCATTTCTTCCCAGGTTCAATATCTACATATGTGTTTGCATCAGAGTCTTTATCTTCATCAAGGGAATTGGGGCTAACCTGATGATCAATGAGGCTCTCCATGAAAACTAATTCCTTTTCAGATTGCAGTTCCTTTACTGCTCTCTTTGATAGCTGTTTGAGCAGAGGAATTATACAAGGAATAAAAGCTAGGCCTGTTACAGCACATATCAACAAGAATAACATTTGTTTTATCCAGCAGGATCCAGGCAACCAAGAAAACCACATGTCAGTTGTTTGTAACCTCTGACTCATCTTGGAAGCCCTGTCCTGTAAATCCTTGGTAATTTCTCTGACCACACCTGATTTATTCATGTAGAAACAACTATCTTCTCCCAGAAATACACACAAACCACCTTTCTCAGCTGTTAGGAGATCTATGGCATGTCGATTTTGTAGGACCACTGCTGCCAAAGAATCTATCTGGTCTTGGACTTCTACCAAAGTCCCAGCAATTTGATTCAGGCTCTCTTGAAGCTCTTCTGATAATTGTCGAAACTGTATTACGGAGTGTGTCACTCCACCTATACCTGTTCCAACTGCAGTTCCTATCCCCATGATTACTAATAGTGGGACTAGGATTGGTGCCCGTTTCTGAACATGTCCCATGAGAGGAACAGGGATGGTATGTTCTCCACTGACAACACCTATTTTAGGAAAAAGGTGTACTAATGTGCATGTCCTGGTCCAGTTTGTTGGTAAACACAAATACGCATCCTTTCCACACAAGAAGAAAACTCCATTTTCTCCTAGACACACACCTATATTTATGGAAAAGGCATGAGTTTGGTGGTTCTTTTCATTAATCCAGACCCCCAAAGTCCCTGCCACAAACATTCCAGTAAGCGGCTGTAATGGGACTTCTGGGGAAGGGTCCTTTTGCTTATCTCTGAGAGTTGGGCCTTCAAGAAGATAACGGGAGGTTATATTTCCAGGGGGAAAGAGAGCACATAAACCTGATTTGGACCTTAAGGTGAACCAGAATGGAAATCGTGCTGGCCGAAATGGCCTCGGACATTTTTCAAAAGATATATTCCATCCTCCCCATCTTCCTTTTTAATGGTCATATCTGGTGGTATTGAGAAAGTGACTTTTTGTTGAAACAAGTGGTGGGCAGAAGGAGAAATACTTCTGGTTAGTTTTACATCCATAAGGTCCATTCTAGGGCCAAGGTATATTTCTGACGGACATTGTTCTTCTGTCAGGGACCCTACAGGAATACCAGATATTTGATGTCTCTTTACGCACATAGAGGGTGTTCCTATGATTTCTACACCAGTGGCTATAGGGCCAGCTATTGGAAGGTGGCTTATTCCCAGTCTTTTGAATGCATCATAAAAATCTCCTTGCAACTTTGAGGTTGCTGCTTTGTATCTAATATGCTTTTTAAGGACTAGGGTAGCTTTTGTCCTTTCCCAGAGATCTTGCTCAACTGGGACAGCATGATAAGATGAAGGACTGGCAGATAAACGCAACCAGCATTTTTGACCCAAGGTAGAATCAGACTGATTAACGAGGCTTTGACCTAATTCCAGTATCCTCGACATGTGATTTCCTTTTTTCAATTGTTGCAGGGGTCCGTTCTCTCTTTCTATTCCCCCCTTTACCGGGATTGTCAATTGTTTGACATTAGGTATGGGAGTTGGCTCAGGTCTAAAGTAACAACCCCACCTACTGATGATACGTCGTTGGCTGGAGCGGACTTGACCTAAAGTATCTCTACTTAGTGACCTGATGCTGGTCAGTCCCTTGGGGTTGTCAATAGTTATGGATCCTTCCTCATGGACAAGGGGGATTTCTCGGGCATTCTCACAACAGTGGGAACTATTATCCAAGATATTATCACTTAATAGAACCTCTGAGAAAAACATCCAAAACCATAAAAAGGACATAATCACTTCTTTTTTTTTTTACACACACTGGGTTTTAATAGCACAACACCTTTAGTTTACAAACTCACTATGTCAGGAAGAGGGCTAGCGGTATGTGTAACTTGGGAAAGAGCAGTATCAACCTCAGTCCTAGGCTTCCCACAGAACCAGTCCTTACAGATATAACACAATACCAATAGTAGGGCTAGGATGGCAACTGCCCAGAGTCCCCACACCCAATCTTCCTCAAACATTAGTATCTTTAAGAATTTTCTTACTAGTTTCTATCACAGTTAATGGGTTTTTACATTACAAATTACAGTCATGGAGTGTTGTCGTCCTCCGTTCCGAGCTTCGGCCGTGCATAGGGAACCAGTTTCCGGGGTGGTTCAGCAAGGCTGACGATCACCACCGTGCGTTGAGAGTCCGTTGCTGGTAGGACTCAGCAGGGTGTATTCTTCTTGAACTTCAGCACCAATAGCTTGTCAGTTTTTGTTACCTGGTATGTGACCGGATCACTCTAGTCTGCAGGCTTCAGTCTCGTCCAGTGGATCCAGGATCATCCTTCCAAGCTCTTAAAAGCACAGTTACAAAACCAACAGATCTGGGAGAGCGCGCAATGGAATCTGATCAGTTGTAGTCCTCTTCAGTTAGGGAAACAGCATAGGCAACCACTCAGTTCTAAGACAGAAAAATACAAAAATAGTCCAGATGATGAAGAACGCTATTCCCACTGGTTACTGCCCACCAGTCCATTGGATTCTTTGGATCATCAACTTCAATGGATCTCCTTGGTGAGATTCCACCTTCCACTCCTTTGGGGCTGGCACGGGCCCTTTCACTTGGGGTTTAACTTCCTTCCAGCTCTGGATCAACACCCAATCATCGTGGTTGAATTTGTGGACTGGAAACTTCAAAGGTGGTGTTTGGGCTAATAGTTCTTGTTTCCTAAGAACTTCAAAATATCTGGACAGTTTATGCACATATTGTTTCAATACTTTGTCTCTGGTTTCCAGGGAATCAATGCATATACTTCCTGTAGTGAAAACTACTCCAAACAACAGTTCATAGGATGATAATCTTTCTAGGTTGGGTCTAATAAAACTCTTGACACCACTGTTGCTGTAGCATTACTGCAGGGAAAAGCTTCAACCCACCCTGTGAGGTGGTCCACTATGACCAATAAATATTTTACTCTCCCCACTTTTGGTAATACTGTAAATCCACTGGAATACATTGAAATGGTCTTAAAGCTGGTGGTCTCCCACCCATCTGTTGTTTCCTGACAGCTTGTTCATTCACCTTTTTACAAATCAAACATTTGTTTATAATTGATTTTGCTAAAGGATATATCCCAATACAACCATAGCGTTTTAAAAGTTCATCTACAATAGCTTGAATTCCCCAATGACTCCACCCATATTTTGCCAAATGTATGCACTATCCCAAATGCATACTTGGAATCTGCCTATTTTTCCTTCCAAGATGCATAAAGCCTTTTTTTTTTTTTAATGATTTATATACCCATTATTTTGTTTATCTGTAATCCTCCTCGAGGAAGCAGGGATGGATGCCATTCACCAATGGTTGTTCTTCCGGTATCCTTCCATCCAAGATGCCCCCACATGGGTCCTCCCCATTGTCCGTGGGGACTGCTGGCTGAGGCTGAGGCTGAGGTGGTGGCGTGTTGAACTGGCTTAAGGGGATTTCATTCCTTCTAGTTAAAAACTGAGAAAAACGTGGTAGGTTCCGATTGGGACCCAATACTCCCTTAACCCTTCCTAGGCTGACAAGGAACTTGTACCTGATGGACTCATAAACGTCGTAGTCCGTTTCTGCCAGTATGTGTTTAAAAACACAATCGTCGCTAGTCAAGGAAGTCTAAAGGAGACACAAACACAAAGTAAAGACAAAGTAAGGACAAGGCAGAGGTGAAAATCAGCCGCATATTTTGCAAATCCTTGTTCTTTCTCCTTATTTAGGATATCTCATTTCACACATCTTACATCTCAAAAGAGCTTGGTTTACAAAGGATGCAACAGCCATGTTTGGAATATTGAACGAGTATTTAAACAGCCTTCCGATTTGAGGGAAGCTGACAGATGTCTACAATCCTGGAGAGTCGGTGACTAGTTTTGGTTTGTTTAGGTAGGCCTCAAACACAGGATTGTCTTCAAAGTCTCCTTCATTCATATTCATGTATCATGTTCGGTCCTCCCCCACTACCACTGTTGTGGGAAAGGAGAAAGGTGTATTTTTTTTAATAGAAATTGTAAAAGGACATAAAGAATACACGTTGGATTTATCTAATCTCATAAATGTTGCTCAAGCCTGAAGTTGCATGTAGGAACAAAAGAATGAGAGGTCCGTCTTAGGACCAAAGCTGGTTTTAGCTTTACTGGCATCGTGATTGACTTAGAGACAACTCCAGAAACTCATAGTTATTAGAGATAAATTGTAAATAAGGGGCAGGGAAGAATGTATTCATTTTAGGGCAGTGGTGAAATCCAAATTTTTTTACTACTGGTTCTGTGGGTGTGGCTTGGTGGGCATGGTGTGGCATGGTGGGCATGGCAGGGGAAGGATACTGCAAAATCCCCATTCTCACCCCTCTCTGGGGCCAGCCAGAGGTGATATTTGCCAGTTCTCTGAACTACTCAAAATTTCCGCTACCAGTTCTCCGAACTGCTCAAAATTTCTACTACCAGTTCTCCAGAACCTGTCAGAATCTGCTGGATTTCACTCCATTTTAGGGGCCTCGGATAGATTGCGTTCTTAGCTAATGAGGAAATGGTGGCAGGTAAACTACAATGGCGATAAGGAATATAAAAAAAGTATATTGATGATTTAAGATGTGTCTGCTAAACCTGTGTGTATGTGGTACACCTGCTCTGCAAAGTAGTAAACTAAAATTATCATTGTTTTCTTTTATCGTTTTGGCTTTTAATGATTTCAAAAATAGACAACGAATCCCACACTCAGTGGCCTAGCGGATCAGGCTCAAAATGGAGAGAACATGTCCTCCAATGTAGAAAAGCAGGCAGAGGGTTGGGGAGAGTTCGAATTTAGCACATCATCCACTTAAGAGTCATTACATTTCCACAAAGGGATTTAATGCCAACCCCTCTTGAATTCCATTGACCCTTTTCTGGGGCCAACTTAGTATTGACCGGTAGTGGACTAAGCTCTTGTGTATACCATGAAAATAAATTTTCTAAACTGCAACTTAACCTATGACCCTGACATCCAAGTTCTCCATAGAATAATTACAACATACTGTAGATCTTCTAGGAGGAAGGTGTGAGCACCAATTCACATCATGTCACGTCACTGTATCTCCAGAGAAAGGATCAAACATGCCCCAGTGACAAATTGAAAGGACTTGAGCATGATAGTCCTTTCGATTTGTGACTGGGGCATGTTTGATCCTTTCTCTGGAGATACAATGACGTTGCATGATATACTGTATTTTTTAGAGTATAAGACACACCTTTCCCCCCCCCAAAAAGAAGGTGAAAATCTGGATTATCGGCATCTTATACTCCGAATGTAGCCCTGCCCAGCCTCGTAAATGGAGATTTCAGAGGCTGAAAGAAGCCTCTGAAAGAAGCTTCAGAAAAAAAGCCTCTGAAAGGCTTTTATCTAAAATAATATGGCAAGCAAGAAAAGAAGAATCAGTAAAGGTTCTAACCAAACTATGCTAACAAATCTGGAGAATGACACAATAACCAACAGGTCGGAAGAGGTTAATCTATATACCAATACCAAAGAAAGAAGATTGAACAGAGTACAGATAGTCCTTCAGAATAAAAGCCTCTGAAAGAAGCTTTAGAAAAAAAGCCTCCAAACAGTTCTTAGAAAAAAAACCTCTGAAAGAAGCTTCAAAAAAAAAAGCCTCCAAACAGATCTTAGGAAAAAAAACCTCTGAAAGAAGCTTCAGAAAAAAAGCGTTTTTTTTCTGAAGCTCTGTTTCGGAGGCTTTCAGAGGCAGAAAAAAAAGCAAGGCACAGAGCTCACAACCAACAAACCTCTTGCTAAAATTCACCTCTAGGAACAGCTGATTGGGGGTATTCTGGGAGGCTGATCCACTCACCAATCAGCCTTTTTCTTATTTTCCTCCCCAAAAATTAAGGTGCGTCTTATATTCTGAAAAATACGGTAATTGTCTTCTTCCACCTGCTATCCTGTTTCCCCAAAAATAAGACATCCCCTGATAATAAGCCCAATCGGGCTTTTCAGCGCATGCACTAAAATAAGGCCTCCCTGAAAATAAACCCTCCCCGAAAATATTTAAATGTACGCGCAGCTGGTTCCCGCCATTTCCTCTGGTTAGGGTTAGGGAGACAGAGCTGAAAATCAGGTAAGACGGCAAGAGGAGCCCCGTCTTGCTCCACGTGCCCCAAAATAATAAGACTTTCCCGAAAATAAGGCCTGGGGTTCAAAAAAATATAAGACAGGATCTTATTTTCAGGGAAACACGGTAGACTAAGAAACGTACTTGAACTCTCCTAACAACAAGTTCTTAATGGCTTGGCTGCACTAGGAAAGGAGTCAAATACTCCAAAATGAATATTAGGACTCACCGATCCGTAGAGCTTTCCATTATTGCGCATACATAGGCTGAGTTTGCTCATCACACCAACGATCCTTACAAGGCCTGGACTTATACCGCTGATTACCAAAGTACCTGGAAGTGAATGGGTTAAATATTAGGAGAGCTCTTTATACATATCCAAGGAGAAAAGGGCCCCAACAGGAAACAGGGAGCTAAGCAGCCACAGCTGGCTCAGTTCAAATTGGATCTGACTGAGAAGGAGGCTCAGCAGAAGCAGCTCACTGAGGACGATGAGCATAGGCTTTCCAAGCAGAGGGAAGAGCTGCGGGAGTACACGGCCAGGTATCGGCGCCTGGAGGCTCAGCGGGCTGAGATGGTCAGCCAGTTCCAGGCCATGATGCAGTCCCACTGGAACAAGGCCCTCCATCTCCTTGTCACCAGCGGCACTTCCCTCCAGCCTTTACCTAAAGCCCCGCACCAGGAGGCTAAAGCAGACCCCAAGTCGGAATTTCTGCCCCACCCTCCAACCCGCACAAAAAGACCCTGAAGGGGGAAGACTCTCTGCAGCAACACAAATGTTCATTGCATGTATCCGGCCCAGGGGCCATATTTTCAGGACCCTGCAATATAAATATAGTGCAATATAAAAAAATGCAAATAATTTTTCTGCGGACCACCAAAATTTTCTCGCGGACCACCAGTTGGTGACCGCTGGACTAAAAGACTTCCAAGGTCCCTTCCAACTCTGTTATTGAATTCCTAGCACTCTGGAGCCTCCGGGGGTGATCCTGGACATGCCCCTACCTCTCTTCCATCCCTCTGCAGCAGCCAACTCCGCAGCTCTGCCGGGAACTTACTGTACACGGTTTGGGATGGTGTGCCCCTCACGCGTCCATTGGGATTGATCTGCAGGTAGTAACCCTTCTTGTTGCCAGAAGTGTAGAGGTGCACCAGATTGTCGGAGCTGCTCCAGACGGGGGAGGCGACCGCGAGTCCCCAGCTGCAGATGGCCAGAGGCAGCAGAAGCCTAAGGGTGCGGAGAAACACTGGAGCCAGGATGGGGCGCATGGTGCTCACTTGGCTTGGATGATGTAGGACCGTAAAGCGATCTTGGTTCTTCTCCTTTGCTGACCAGTCGCCAATACTGGGCGCCCTGGTCCTTCGGCCCTGGCTTTATGCAGGAGGGCTGGGGGGAAGGATGGGTTGAAGGGGTGGGTGGGAGAAAGGAAGAAACACCCATTTCCAAAACCATCAAATCATGAAGGGACCAGTGATGGTTCTTCCACCAATGCTCTGCAGTTGCTACTGAGAATTAAAACAATTGTGAACTTCTTGGTCACCTTGTGTTTGGCCAGTAAAACTATTTGTTCTGATGCGAATCATTGATGCATCCTGATGCTTATGGACATTAGATTTGTACCGTGATAATTTTGTGATGGGACCTAGTCCATTATTTATGGAGGTCGTCCCAAAGGTGCTTTTTCAGGAGGCAACTGGACTTCCTTGTTTTGCTTGCCTCCTGAAAAAGCACCTTTGGGACAACCGTGACTTGGATGACTGAGAATCTTTACAGACATTCGTGGAAGTAAGAGAACATGTTTCTCTGTAATACGGAGACCGAACGCACGAGACTTTATGTTGCCTACGAACACTTGGATATTAGTTTACGGCTATTATGGTTGAGATGCGGTATCACCGACATGTCAAAGACCAACAAGACGTAACATTTCACCAACTGGACATCTGTAGAAAGTGCAATTAGATCAATCAAGCTCTTTTTCTCCACCTCTTTTCCAGTGTCAGGGGCCTCTTGGTTTGGAGGAAGGGTCCCGAGATGTGCCAGAAGGAACCTCAAACTTTGACATTCTAGATAGAAAATATATACCTCCAAATATCCTTGCTTTGCATACGCTGTGATTCTCATTTCAGATACATATGGAGATCTGGGGTTTATTTCCGATTCTGAACAAACAGAATTCGCTTTACATTTTACCGTTTAAAATGGATTTTCCTTGAACATGAATTTTAAATCGATCTGATCCATCTTAGAGGGCTTTGATGGAGGATGCCAAACAAGATCAGCTGTCTCTTCAACAAGTCGTAATGGAGACATACTTCCCTTGCCGAGTGTGTGCATACCTTGTCAGGACTGAACAGCAGATATTTGTCACAATTAAAATTACAAGTAAAACGTAGACAAATAGGGCTGGAAGGAGACTTAGAGGTCCTTGGGTCCAGCCCCATGCTCAGGGCAGGAGTCTTATTCCATCCCAGATAGTTGGTTGTCCAGTGTATATTTTTTTAAACCTCCAGTGATGGAGCACCCAATAGGCAGGGCCATTCTACTGATTAATTGTTCTCGCTTGTAAAACATATATAATGCGTTCAAATAAATAAATATGACAATAGAAAAATGCATATATTGCTTTCTCATGGTCTGATACTTTTTCAAGATGTTCTTTTGAACACCTCCCACCAAAGCACCCACATTTTGGTTGTGTACATACATTTTGTTGTGTGCATAGATCCCAAATGGGACCTACAAGAAAAAGTTACAGTGTTATGTGTTCAACACCGAGTCCTCCCATTCTCCAAACATGTCTTTCTCCATACCTAACTTCAACTGACTTTTGGGTAGAGGCAGTGGTGAAATCCAATTTTTTATACTACCAGTTCTGTGAGCGTGGCATGGTGGGCATGGTGTAGCGCGGTGGGTGTGGCTTGGTGGGCGTGGCAGGGGAAGGATACTGCAAAATCCCCATTCTCTCCCCACTCCTGGGAGAAGGATATTGCAAAATCTCCATTCCCACCCCACTTTGGGGCCAGCCAGAGGCGGTATTTGCCGGTTCTCCGAACTACTCAAAATTTCCGCTACCGGTTCTCCAAACTGCTTTTATGCTTTTTTGATGACGTTTTTGGTGTTGGGTGTCCATTTTAGGTCGTGAGACATAGTAGAACCGAGAAATTTGAAGTTCTCTACTGTTGATACTGTGTTGTCTAGTATTGTAAGCGGTGGTAGTATGGAAGGGTTTCTCCTAAAGTCCACCACCATTTCTACAGTTTTGAGTATGTCCAGTTCTAGACTGTTCTGGTCGCACCACAAGGCTAGTTGTTCAGTCACCCGTCTGTATGTGGATTCATCATTGTCTCAAATGAGACTGATCACTGTTGTGTCATCTGCGAACTTCAGTAGTTTAACAGATGGATCATTTGAGATGCAGGCACACAGCCTTGTGGGGCCCCTATGCTAATTGTATAGGTATCTGATGTGATTCTGCTTAGCTTCACCTGCTGCTTCCTGATGACAGAGTCCTGAACTTTTGACCATACTTGATTCTCATTGGTTTAGAACTTCCATCGCAGAGCGAGGCAGTCATTAAGTCAGTCACACTGAATATATTTTTGCCATAATTGTTAAGTAAATCGCTGTAAAGTGATGTAAAGGAAATTTGGCTTCTCCCATTGGATTTGCTTGATGTGGATTTGAACTCCAGCCTGGAACGATGGCTGCCCGCTAATGGTTTAACAGCCCACAAGTTGCTTTATGGAGCTTCTCAACTCCATTCTCCAGGAAGGGAGCCTTATGTGCCCGTTCCCCTCCATCTGGTCGTAGATAGCCCATGACAAGATACCAAGATTTGGCATTTCCTGCACAAAGGTCTCTACTGTTTGGCCTACCTTTGGCCAACAGGTTGATGGGATGGGTCAGCAGCCTGAATCCCGCTAAGGTTAGTCATGAGGTGGTCCTGCTGTGATTCCAAGGAAGAAACTCATGGAGATGATCTTAGCTGAATCGGACAACTTCTACTCGTTTTGGGATATTGTGAGATATTAGGTCATGTCAGGCATACTTTTGGTTGCCTACAAAAGAAGCAACTGCATTGTCATACATATATACCGTTTTACAGTGCTTTACAGCCCGCTCTAAGCGGTTTACAGAGTCAGCATCTTGCCCCTCAACAATCTTGATCCTCATTTTATCCACCTCGGGAGGATGGAAGGCTGAGTCAACTTTGAGCCTGGTGGGATTTGAACTGTCAAATTGCAGGCAGCCAGCTGTCAGCAGAAGTAGCCCTGCAGTACTTCACTCTAACCACTGCGCCACCATGGCTCACTGTGGTAATGCAGAACAATGAAGCCAGGTACCCCTCTTGTGAAGTCCTGCCTCTTGGTTGTCATCTTGTGTTGGCAGCAAACCTATGCTCTCATGTGAATGAATTCTGATGCATGCTGATTCTTGCTGGCATTAGACTTGAACCCTGATCATTCTATTCTGAGACCTAGTCCAGTATTCTTGGAGATAACATGTTTCTCTGTAATGTGGAGATCAAACGCACGAGTCTTTATGTTTAACAGAATTAACAGATTAACTGAGTTCAAAGGGATTATGTAAACCATTTAGTCCAACCAATCCCACCTCACTCCCGCCCAAGAAGGAGACCCCACCTACACCATTCAGGTTGAATACCTCTTTATTTAGTTTCCATCCGTTATTCCTTGTATGGCCTTCGGGCACCTTGGAAAATAGGTTGACCCCTCCTCTCTGTGGCAGCCCCTCAAATATTGAAAGACTGCTATCATGTCTTCCCTGGTCCTTCTGTACACTAGACTAGCCATGCCCAGATCTTGCAAATGTTCTTCATATGTTTTAGTGTCCTAATCACCCTGATTGCTCTTCTCTGCACTTTTTCTAGAGTCTCAACATCTTTTTTATAACATGGTGACCAAAACTGGATGCAGTACTCTAGATGTGGTCTTACTAAGGCTTTATAGAGTGGTATTAGTACCTCACTTGATCTTGATTGTATCCCTCTGTTAATACAATTTAGGATTGCATTGGCCTTTCTGGCTGCCACTGCACACTGTTGGCTCATATTGAATTGGTTGTCCACTAAGACTCCAAGATCACTCTAAGATTTACTGTTATTAAGCCTGGTTTCACCCAGTCTATATGACTACTTTTGGTTGACATATAGTAGGGAGGCCTAGTAGGCTCATTTTCATTTCCCAGGAGGCTGCAGGGAGGCCTACTAGGCTTGTTTTCGTTTCCCAGGGGGCTTCAGGGAGGCCTACTAGGCTTGTTTTCGTTTCCCAAGAGGCTTCAGGACGGCTTCGCAGGCCTGTTTTCACTTCCCAGGAGGCTTCAGGGAGCCTACTAGGCCCATTTTCGTTTCCCAGGAGGCTTCAGGGAGGTCTACTAGGCAAGTTT